GCCCCAATCGACATTTAATTCACTTTTTGACCATCCTCATTTCACATTAACAGACTTTTATCAACGGTGGCAACGAGGTTCCATTTTTAAGAGACCCCCGATTACCGTTACTCGTTCGCATCTTCATTACGTACAAGAATGACGTTCTTGAGAGCGATATCGATGACGACCATGTCGAGTTCGCTGCTAACAGTGACGAGTATCCTATAAAATATAAATGATGACGATAATGACTTTTATCTAAAAAATATATTGTTATATTTACTTTATATACGTATATAGAAATTACCTACCCTGAGTCCAGCCCCGAGAAAATCGTTCGGAGTGCTAGTTAACTTCGAGATCACTATCGGCTTGGTCATCTTGATCACTTTCTTCTTCTTCATCTTCCTCCTCGGAATAATACTGCGAGGGTGGCGATAGAACATCCTCTGAAAGCGAAGTGTGAGAAGATGAAGGAGGTCGTGAACCTTCCAACTTTATGTCCAGGTCTTCCATTGAAGTACTTGGTCCAGGAATGGTCACTGGGATGAATTTTTCCAAATCGCCTGATGCCAGTTCTAATATAAATCATTAAGGACCGATATTCGTATAACAATGCAATATTGAAGTATAAAAACTGTAAAATTATAAATAATACATACGTTCCACGTATTTATCCAGAGATTTTGGAACCATTGATTTAGCCTTTCGCAAATTTTCCTCAGTGCACTCTCCTTTTTCTAAACCTATTTAGAAATTGTTTCTTATTAATTAATCGGATTAATAGATACAAACAAAAAAGAAAATATTAAACAAATTGTTTACCGAAAGCTAAACCCATTTGCTTTAGAACTTCAATATCGTCGTGAATTTCAAACTTATCGTTAAAATTGAACAGGTACTCGGTTCTGCAACAAATATTATTTAATGTTATCAATAAAACAAAGACAGATATAATAGCGAATGAATCACTTCTTACTATTAAATAAATATCGTACTTGTCATTTGAAATGCTGCAATCTATGACAGTCTTTTTGCTAGTATTCACAATCAGGAATGGCAGCTGTATGGCAGAATTTGGTTTTGGTGGACCACGCAGACTCTCATTGGCACGATTACGTTCAACCAAATTTTTAAAAGAGATATGCGAAAGAATCAATTGATGTAACTGTTGCGTTTTCGCTTTAATCCTCTCAATCTTCTTCTTTTTATCTTTCTCAAGTGCCACGCATTCCTGAAGAGAGTTGGTAGGCAAACCTAACCACCTAATTTCTTTCTTTTCTTTTGAGATAATATTCATTGCCATTAAAACATTCAAAGCATCATAAACACGTCTTCTAATGTTTTTTTGATCGTATTGCTATACGAAAAAAATAATAAATTCCATTATTAATTCCTTAGATGTATTATTTTGGAAACAAAAAAAGGGGAAAATTATACCTGATCTGTTAAGGAGTTTATATGAGCAGGATTAGTGAATTCCCCAACAAGTTCGTCTGCAACCTCATTGTACGACGTCGTTTGCTTCTTTTTTACTTTCTCACAAACCTTCATTGAAAAATGGCGTAATCCTTTACCTACTTTTTCCGTTTTTCTCCGTTTACTATAAATAAAATTTATAGTATTAAAAAATTTATTTATATATAAAAATATTAATTATGTGCAGAAAAATAGAATAAATTCTTACTCTGGTACAAAATCACCACCCTCAACATCTTGTCTTTTTCTAGAACCACTGTGATCCAATATTGGACTGATATATGTTTTTCCACTTGCATCTTTCACAAGTTGTTGATTACTAGATTGTTGCTGCTGTTGCTGTTGTTGAGATACTATTGCCTGTTTTATATCACTCTGTACAGAAGAGCAAACAAACCAATCTGTTTATATATTATTTAGTCTTTGAATGAATGCAATATGAAAAATACATTATTGAATTATTGTAAAATTCTTTAAAAACATCATGAACTCTTCTCAATTTATAATTGTATTTATTAAGTATCTATTCAAATCATACCATTTGTGCAGATGTTAACTGTATTGTCTTGGTCAGTACAGGTTCTCCAGCCTTGGTTGTTGCCAGTTTTGTATTCTGTAATGGTATTGTAACCAATCCTAGAATAATTAAAAGACATTGTTTGATTATCATTTACTTCAAAATGAAGCAATCAAATCTTAATTCTATAACAATTAAACACAGATGAATAAAATAAAAATTAATATAAGTAAAAATATTACATGTGTATAAAATTTGAAATTTTGTATCTGATAAAGAAAATATGTGTATAATAATTGTCAAATAAGTTACTTACTTTGGCCAGGTGTTGAAGGACTCTGCAGACTGATGGTTCTAAGAACTTGTGCGTTAGATGACAAAACCTAAAGAATACAAAGGTGAATGATTCAATATAATAACAGAATAAAAAGCTAAATCAAACTTATTAACAAAAGGGACATTCAAATAGCAAATACAATTCTTATAAATATAATATACCTGAGATTCTTGGCTTGGAGTCTTAAAGACTTTAAGGCCACCTGCATTTGTTGTACTGACGATACCACCCAATGTCTTATTGGCTGTACTCTGCACTACTTTTATTACTTGTGGATGACCTAAAATCACATTAAGTTTTTTGTTATTGTTTAAATAATTAAAGAATCAGATAGAGCATCAAAATAACATAAAATATATGAAAGATAAAAGATATGATGTTAGTATTTCATAACATGACAAGTTCTATAAATTCAATATTGTTATTTTAAAAAATATAGAACTCATAACATTTAATAAAACATTTAAGTGTCTGTTGAAATTATATATCAAATGCTAATGAAATATATAAATTGACATTCAAAATTGATGTACTTTAACTAAAATCAAAAGATCAAGCTAAACAGAATCTTCATATTTGAATAAAAGCATTGAGAAATAAAGGTGATCCTTTCGACTGAACAATCAAATAAAGCTAGTACATACATTGCTAAACAACCTATGGTAACATAACTTGAAAGCAAGTTAGTTTTACTCATTGAATAATATATAAGTAAGTGCAAACATATTTTAGTAGATACAATGCAGACAATTTGTAAAGAAACATAGCATAAAACCAATGTGAATATGGAAAAAGAAAAGAGTCAACAGAGGTCTGTAATTGACAGAAGTCAAGCAAAAAATAACAGAAACATGGGCTTCAATCCAGGAACAAGATAACAGTGGTCCAACTAAGTGAACTTGAGGAAAATGAAAGAAAATCAAGACATCGTCATTGAAGTGAGGCATGCTGATAATTGGCGCGCACTCGGCATACTCACCGTTCGCGTCATGTATGAGAAAGTTCATCGTTTTGTTTTGTTGCGTCATCCTCGAGTAAAAAGATCATAGGTACACTCGCTAATCTTGGCTCGGTCTATCACCAAAATGGCGACTATGATATAGAACCATTTGAGATCAGAATTCAACAATATACAGATCAAAGAATGTTTTAATGCACGCACGAAAGTGAAAACCAGCCGTTTCTTTATCGTACTAATGCAACCATCTTATGAAAACGCTTATTTGCTTGCAAAAATATCGGACGAAAATCTAGCTTCCGCGTGCACAGTACAGAATAGAGACGAGCTTGGCGGCACGACAAAGTTAAACAGCTGATTGGTTGCTTTCTCAGTCACGTGGCCCCTCCTGTTCCACGTTTATGGGCACAGTAATCTCTACAAGAAAAACCTGTCTCTAGTGTTACAAAATGCCGAACACTATTATCGGGATTTTACTCTTAAAATTGGTAATACCCATTTGTCAATTTCTATCCAATAGATAATTTGAGTTAAAAGCAAACATATAGTAAACAAGTAAACGATAAAAAGTGTACAATACATCGCAATTGGCGATAACTATTACGTAGTAATAGTAGTTTTAAAGGGAAGCAATCATTTTGTAATTTATTTGTTTTATTATAAATATCGAATATACATAACTTTCAATTTTATCATTACCAGTCTTGGAATTGAGTAAATCTTATGTATTTAATGTTTAAAAAATACAATGTAGAACATACTAAATTTTCGCGCCATGATTCAATATACGATATAATGCGTACAAAGTAACTTTAAGGATATTTTTGATGTTTTTAGGCATGCATAACGTAGTTCAAAATAACGTTAGACAAGACTTCTTCAACATTTCTTAAGTTTAAGTATTTTACAAACACACTTTCCTAAGAAGAATAATTTAATTGTATACATAAAGGAGTAGAATAAAAATTAGTTCATTCAAATTGTAGGGTTTACGTCGTAATCAGGCGAATTAAATCGCGATTTTATTTTCAAAGCTTTCCAATTGGTTAAAACGAAAGTTTCTAGATAGTCAAGACCAATAATGTTTTTGCAGATTCGGCGTTAGTCGTGAAAGAATTTTGATAAGAGACGTCACAGAATCGTGCAATTAGTCAAAAGTTTTCAAAGATAAATAATTTCTTTGTAGCGTTCTTTAAAAAAAACTGTATCGCATTGCGTAGTATCACATTCTGTTATTGATAGAGTTGTCATAATAGTATAAATTGTGTTTTTAATACGAAATATTGAATTGAAAAGTAGTTGCCTTATATGTGCGCTTTTAAAAGAATCGCATAGAATACTTCGAACCGAGGCTGAGGGTTCGTTCAGGGTCTGGCTGAATGGTAAGATTATTTTAAGGCTCGCGAGGCGATTGAAACGCACAGGTTAAACGTTTGCTACCTCTTTCAACGAACTCGCACTCTTGCAAGTCGCAACTTGACTTCTTCTTGTTTCTTTAAATTGTTGAATTTTTATTTTGTATTGTTCATCTTTCCTATAAAAACGAATGAATCTTGTGTCGTTTTGTTGATTTCTCTTTTTTTTACCTGAATATTCTATCGTCATCGTATCGTTGATCGACTTGATACACGACCTCCATTTTTGTTGCAACTATTTCATTCGGCATATTTCTTGCAGTATTTCTCGCTTCAATTATTTTTTTAGATCATTTTCCGATTTTTTGACTGCAACTTTTCAAAAATAAAATTTTTTAGGTTAAATCTAATATGTACCTTATAAAAAAAAGAACAGACGCAAATTAATATTTATAAAATCATGTTTGATGATAGTAGGTCGTAGTCTGCAACAAATTTGACATTTACATCTACAGATATAACCTGAACGAATATGTTTAGCATCATTTACTACAAACCTTTTAAGATATACAAGAAACATTTGTGATGAATATATTGTAGAATCAAATTCTTTAGATGAATGTATATGAAAATAAGGCTATTATAATTTTGTAACATAAGAAATTTTATGCATGTTCTCTTTTAATTCAGAATTGGAGCACT